CAAGTTAATGCGGTGGTAAGAACCTATTCTGAAGTCAAACGCACTGTCACCCTGAATGGAGGTCATTAAGTACCCAATGCTTGGCAGTCTTTTGTTGAAATGATTTATGAATTCGTTCAAAAGTTAGCAGTGAAAAATAAGTGGTGTACCAGCAGTTCCAACGATTTTTTCCTTTCTCTTTGTCCCTGTGTTTGGCTATTTGGGCATGGATTATGGTGTGCCGTGGAAGGCCTATTTGGTCGATATCGGTCGCCGACTGAAGGCAGGTGCAAAGTGTATCAAGTCATGCTGGACATGAAAGCAAGACGCAAAGAAGTGGGTGTCCGGTGGCTTTCCTGTGTTTATTATGGAGTTGTCGTGAAGAATGTGCATAGCTTTGGGGAGCTGGAGGAAGCTTTTTCGGAAATTGTGTACAATTTGTCAATTAGCATACACATACCAGTGTTCACCTCCTCTGTGCTCTCGCAAGCGTGGCTTGAATTGGAGTAGAGAATTCCAAACAAACTTTTTAAAAAGCACACTTGCAAAAAAAACTGTGGAATGATTCTGCCCCCATGTTGATGGTAACCAGTGGAACCAATAAGAGCGTAGCTGAACCCTCTCATTCCTACACACACACCCAATAAGAGTGTAGCTGAACCCTCTCATTTGTACACACACACCACCAATAAGAGCATAGCTGAACCATCTCATTCATACACAAAAAACCTGTATGTGTGTGTGTACCAATAAGAGCGTAGCTGGACCTCTGGAATGATTCTGCGTCCACACAAACCAGTGCGTTAGTTGTTTTGTGTGTACAAATGAGAGGGTTCCTGAAAATGCCCCTGAAATACCACAACTCTGACAGACGAGATTTGAAGTAGATATGAACGTGAGCACGTGCTGCTCCCCACAAATAGATTGGAGCTTTTGTCCCAAAAAAAAAAAAAAAAAAAAAAAAAAAAAAAAAAAAAAAAGGAAGAAGAAGAAGAAAAAGAAGAGAAAGATAGGAACGTGGTGTGCACGTTCATAATCGCTTTCCATATCCATCGTAAGGAGAAATTGCACTATGGGCATGTGCAAATCTAGTTTGTCGGTATTGTGATGTGCAAGTTCCAACCTTTTTCAAAACAGCACCTGCAACTTGAAAGAGGTCGAGATGTGCAAACTACAGTTCTGACAAACTAGATTTGAGATGTGCCCACGATGCAATTTGTCCGTGCAATGGATATGGAAAGTGATTACGAAGTGTGCTGGTGGCTTGTCCTTAGTATTCCACTGATGTTTTAAAAAGTTCATTCCCGGTCGCATGTCCTGTCCCGTCAGTTGTTTTTAGTGAGTTTGACTTTGCTTCTGCTTTACCAGTGAAGGAGGTGGGGTAGTTTCACACTAATGTGGGGAAGAAAGGGCAAGTATTTTGTGTCTTTTATGTTGTCACACCAATGAAGGAAGAATGTAAAGGAGAAGTGTGTTAGACCTTGCTATCAGATGATAATTCATTCCGGCGACGACGCCACCACCTATCCTTTCCACCAAAAGAGATCCCAAATTGGCAGCAG